GGCCAGGTCCAGAGAGGAGCACATCAGCTGGGGAGGTGGCCTTGGTGGGCGTGGTGGGGGGGGACGCCTTTGCCCAGTAGGGTGTCCTGGCGGTGCCTACACTGTGGCAGCTCAGGCAGCCCTGCCGCACACCCCTCCTGCACGGGCTTAATCAGGGGCTTGTGGCTGTGGGGATTTCTGCTCTTTGTCCTCCCTGCCCCAAGGGAAAGGCTCCCTTTCTCTTACTAGTTCATACTGTCTCCCTCTCTCTCACATGCTGTTATTCTGTTTCTCATTTTCTATCTCATTCATTTATTGTCTTTCCCTCTCTATCTCTTTTTGTCTCTCATTCTCTGTCTTCGTATCTCTCTCCATCTGTCTCTTTTGTCTCCCTCTCATTCTCTCTTCATCTTTCATTAATTCCGTGTCTTTCATTCATTCTGTCTCTCCATCTCTGTCTCTCATTCTTTCTCATTCTCTTTTTCTTTCCCTTTCTTCATCTCTGTCTCTCTTTCCATCTCTCTCTCTCTCTGTGACTCTGGCCCAGGGAGCATGGGACTGAAGAGGTTGGATCACTGGACTGGAGAGGTGGAGACAGGAGCCGCCAGGATCCTCACCCAGCCCAGTTGCTGTGCGTGGCCAGGGACAGCGGGGCAGGAGTGGCCCTGGGGAGGAGGTGTCACTGTTTCTCAAGGGTCCCGCCTCCTGAGCTTTCTGGCAAGGCCTAGGGGAACAAGCACTTATTTCTTCCCAGCCACATGGTGACTTGAGTGGATCCAAGGACATGCTTCTGAGACTTGCTTCTGTTTTGGTGGGGGCACCCTGGCTTTCGAAAGGGGCCCACCATTGGGGGTGTGTGAGCCCAGAGCCCTTCAAGCCCCTCACAACCCACACCACTTCCCTGAGGAATCCAGATTGGGCCTGGAAGGGAGGTGGGGATGAGCCTGGTCTCGGGGAGTGGCTGCCTTTGTCCAGCAGGGCGACCCAGCAGCACCCAGACACCGCGGCAGCTCAGGCAGCCCCTGTACATGCTGTCCTGTGTGGACACAGTCAGGGTCTGCGGCTGTGGGGGATTCAGCACTTCACAGGGCAGGGGTCTGCACGAAGATAGATGTTTGCAAGAGCGCCTGGACCTGATGAGCATTCATAGGCGGCTTTTGGGTTTTCTTTCTACATGGTGAGGTTCCTTCCTGAGCCCATGCCTCCTCCCTGGTGCTGACACAACCTGTTAGGGCTGTGCCTTCCCTACCCCTTGGAAAGCATGCTGAACCCTAGTGGGGGGTAGAGCAGGAAAAACCCAGCCTGGCCTTAAACACTTCTTGCAATCTTGGGGCTTCTGCCAGCTACCCAGCGCATCCATTACAATTACACATCTGGAGCTGGGGAAACCACCACAGGAGGGGCTCCAGGAGCTGTGGGACCAACTGGGAGTTGACTGAGCTACAATTCCATGGGTTCTGGGACCTCCACAAGCCCCTGCTGTGCCTGGGGCCACTGCGACCTGCTGGGTCTCCTGGAATTGATGTCGGTTCAGGGCTGTGTCCAGCTATCCCAGAAAGGTCTGATTATCTCCTCTCCCCACTGCATGTTCACCCTGGTAAAAGGCCAGAAGTGCCTTTGGGGAAGGCTGGGAGAAAGATAAGAACAGTAAGCTTTTGGTAGCGCAGCGGGTCCCCCTCAAGGGGGCTCAGCCTCCCCTCTATCCAGGGGGTTCTGGGTCTGCAAACTGGCTCAAATTTGGGACTTGACTGAGGAGCTTGGACTTTGGATTTTTTTATATATATATATATACACACACACATATATATACACACATATATATACACACACACACACACACATATATATATATTTTTTTTCAGACAGGGTCTCTGTTGCCCAGGCTGAAGTGCACTGGTGCAGTCATAGCTCAGTGCAGCCTTGAACTCCTGGGCTCAAGCAATCCTCCTTCCTCAGCCTCCTGAGTAGCTGGGACTACAGGCATACACTATGATGGCCAGCTAACTTATTTTATTTATTTATTTATTTATATTTTTAGTAGAGATGGGGTTTCACCATGTTGGCCAGGCTGGTCTCGAACTTCTGGCCTCAAGTGATTCGCCCGCTTCTGCTTCCAAAAATGCTGGGATTACAGGTGTGAGCCACTGTGCCTGGCCCAGCTAATTTGCTAATCTGTTTTTCTTCTTTTCTTTCTGTTTTTTTTAGATGGAGTTTTTCTCTTGCTGCCCAGGCTGGAGTGCAATGGCGCGATCTCGGCTCACTGCAACCTCCGCCCCCTGGGTTCAAGCGATTCTCCTGCCTCAGCCTCCTGAGTAGCTAGGATTATAGGCACCTGCCACCAAGCCTGGCTAATGTTTTTTGTATTTTTAGTAGAGACAGGGTTTCACCATGTTGGTCAGGCCAGACTAGAACTCCTGACCTCAGGTGATCCACCCACCTCAGCCTCCCAAAGTGCTGGGATTACAGGCGTGAGCCACCATGCCTGGCTTATTTTACTTTTTTATAGACACAGGGTCTTGCTATGTGTCTATAGCTGGTTTCAAACTCTGGGCTTCAAACGAACCTCCAGCCTTGGCCTCCCAAAGTGCTGGGAGTAGAGGGGTAAGCCACCACGCCTGTCCTGTTTTTGACTAGAGTTAGACTTCTGTTCACCTGACCGTGGGCCCAGCGATGGCTTGTCCTGCCTACTCCCCTCCCCTTACCTGGAGAGCTTCTTAGGCCTGGGAGGCCATGGGGAGTTGTAGGGGTACAATGTAGCTTCTAGTCAGAGAACCGCCAGCCCCTGCCTCTCCAATAGAAATATAGGGGCCAGACTGCAGTATGGCAGATGAGAATAAAAAAGCCCACACTTCCTGGGAAACGTCTCCCCCTCGAACTGTGCCCAGGGTTTTCTGGATATGGTTTGAGAGAAGCAGAGGGTGGGGGCAGGTACTTGCCTTCTTAGCGCTGTGTGCCCTTGGGCAGGTGAACGCTGCCCTCTGGGAAGGGCCACTAGTGGCTGTGGCTGAAGCAGCAGGCAGGCCACGGTGGGCGAGGGCAGCCAGACATGAAAGGGAGTTTGAGCCTGGGAGATTAATGGGAGGGAGTATAATTCTCCCTGGTTCCAGGTAGGCTGAGGGGACTGCCTCTATCTGCCACCATCATCCTAGGTGTAGTGAGGTAAGAGCTGAGCCAGCCCTGCCAGACCTCAGGTGTATCTCTGACATTACCCTGCTGGGGCACTGGGCCCTACCACTCATGTGCCCTGGGTCCTGTCAGCCACATGCCCTGGGCTCCTGGGCGTTCTGACAGGCTCCTGGCTGGAGCTGGGCCAGGGCTTCAAGTGGGGGTCTGGTGGGGCCACTCAGGGATGGCCTGCCTGCCGCTCCCACCACCAAAAGCTGCCATGAGCTGACAGCCTCCCTTCTCTGGGGAAACAGCAGGGTCCTTCCATGGATGTCAGATCATCCTTCTCAGCAGCCTCTTGCACCAAATGTGGTCCTGAGAGTCCAGGGCTGGGACTAGAGCCCTCTACCCGTCAGCCGGCCAGGCAGCTGCCTCCTTCCTTTGGTGACCACTAAGCTGTTGCTGGGAGGGCGATTCAGTGGAAGGGAGCTCTGTGGTGCCGGAGGCGCTTGTGATGCACATTTACAATCTCACATGTCTTCTTGGAGGCAACCTCCGGGCCTTTAAGCATGCCATTGCGGAGGGAGGTCTCCCGTCCCGTCTGCTTCCCACTGCTGCCTCTCACCTCCTGGCACTAGAGCCAGACTTTGGGGGCTCACTGGAGCCCATTGCCGTGGGGTGGGTGGGCCTCCCACTGGGGTCGCTTGCAGCCTAGGTGGGCTGGGCTGCTGTCTGCGCTCCCTCTGCTGAGCCAGCCCCATTTCAAGGGAGGTGGCCCAGCCCTTCATGAGCAAAAGACAACAAATGAGTGCCCTCTCCCTACGGGAGGGGGTCTTATGGATGGGGAAGGATGTGAGACCAGTCACACCTAGTGGAAAAGCAGAACCAGGGGCCAGGGCTCCCACACAGGACATCATGCCTTAGAGGAAAGCCACCACTTTGGATGGGTCTCAGATGGGGAAACCGAGGCCCCGAGAGGGAGTGACTGCCCAAGCCTGGTCTCCTCCCTTCCCCATTCTTGCTTTGCCCCACATGCACCTGGAGCTCACCTGGCAAGCTGGCCTTCAGGGACTCAGAAAGGGTGTGCTCACTGGGGTGACTCACATGGCCAGGCCTTCCCAGGGAAGCAGGGCCAGGAGCCCAAGGGGTGGCGAGGACGGCTCAGACCCTCGTGGGGGCCATTTTCTGCTGTTCCTGTCGTCTTCGTCTTTCCTCCGAGGACCCCTCATATTCGCCTCTGTCGCTGCCACTGGCAGGGTTTCAGAGCCTTCCAGGAGCATGTGCTCCACCCCCCAGGCTCTGCGGTCACTGTGCCAGAATCAGTCCCTGCCGGCGCAGACGGCACTGCCTAGAGAGCTGGCACCACAGCCCAGGTCTCTGAGGCCCCTGCAGCACGTGGCTGGGCAGGCTCGCTGGCCCTGTGTCCTCACCTTTGGCAGCCTAGGCCGTGTTGGAGGCACCGCCCTGCACTGACCAGGGTCTGCAGGTGGCAGGCATGCCACCGCCAGCCTGGACCCCAAGCCCTGTTCTTCTGTCCCTTGTTGCGTGGCACAGAGGCCCCATCCAGGGAACTTACAAGCCTTCTCCTGGATGCCACCCCCAGGTCTGTCTGGAATGTGTGCACCTGTATCCTAATGCCAGCTCTGGGTCCTCTGACACCATTCTGCTTCAGAAGCAGTTCCGAATCCGTATCAGCAGAGGGGATGAGTCCCTGGGCTGTGACTGTGCGCTTCTAGCTACCTGGGCGTGCACCTTCCATCCCAGGAGTCCTCTTTCTCCCCTGTCCAGGACAGGAAACAGGCTCCGGAGAAGGGCGTTGCCCGATGGCTGGTGTGGCATTGACTTAGCCGCTAGCTCCCCTCCCACAATTTAAGAATGGGGAGACCACCAGGACCCCAAAAGGTAGAGCTACTCACCTCACAGCCCTAGCAGGCTATGTCGCTTCATTCCCAGTCCGAAAGCGGCCACAGTCCCCGCCAGAAAGGAGCGATTCTCTGGCCCCACTCCTTGAGGGGTCAGCATCTGCAAGAGGCACAGGCATCACCGGCTGGCCGAACTCCTCCTCACCAAGGTTCCCCGGAGCATCAGCGCAGCGCGCAGCTCGGGGCAGACGGCCGGGTCCTCTGTGGAACCATCCCCGACCGTCCCGGCCTGGAGCCCCGCCGGCAGCTAACCCGGCCGCCAACGCCTCCCTTCCCCTCCCCCTCAATCCCGCCCCCGGGGCCGCTCCAAGCTCCCACCGCAGCGCCCCCAACGCTCTACCTGCTTCCCGATGCCCGCCCCGGTCCCCCAATGCCGTCTCGCCGTGGTCGCCCCGGATTCTAGCACGCCCAGCCCTCGGTTCTCACCGCTCCCCGCCTCCCTTTCCTCCAACCCCGCCGGGAAGGGCGCGCCCGAGACCCGCGCCGGGAACGGCGACCGGGGCCCCGAGCGGCCGGGAGGGGCGGGCGGACGGGCGCGCGCGGCTCGGGTTTCGGCCCGCCCCCGGCGCCGGCGTGATCCCCTCCCGGGCGCGGGGCGGGGCCGGGCCCAGCTGGCCGCGCTCCGGGCGCTATAAGAGGGCGGCGGCCGCGGCGCGCCCTGCGCGGAGCTGGGAGCGCGATGGTCGGCCGCCGCGGTGCGGCAAGATGCTGGATGGGTCCCCGCTGGCGCGCTGGCTGGCCGCGGCCTTCGGGCTGACGCTGCTGCTCGCCGCGCTGCGCCCTTCTGCCGCCTACTTCGGGTAGGTGCCTTCGGCGGCCGGCGCGCACTGGTGGGCGGGGGCGGCGGGGCCGGGGCCGGGGCGGGGTCGTCCGGAGTCCCCGAGGCACCCGGGGTGGCTGGGCCGGGGCGCGGCGGGGCCGCCTGGTTGCCTGGCGCTGTTTGTTTGCGGCGCGCGAGTCGCTCCGTCCGCGGCGTGTCACGGGTAGAGAGGCGGGTGGACCCGTCGGGCTTGCGCTGGGCCGCGGTCCTCCGTGACAGCAGAGTCGTCGTCGTCGTAGTCGCCGCAGCCGCCGTGAGCCGGACTGCCTCGCGCTTAGGGACTGGGATCAGGTCCCGGCTTCCTTGGGCCGCCCTGTCCTTGCCAAAAGGCTGGAGCCTGAGTGTTCAGCCCCTGGCCATCGCCCACCTAGCAGCTTCCCTCCTTTCTCTTCTCGAGAAGTTAATTTAACAATAACAAAAATACGTACAAAATCCAGATGTTCCTCTTTCTGAGCCCCAAACGGGGAGAGAGAGAGAAAGAGAGAGAAACCCTCCAAGCTGGAGGAATTTATTTATTTTTTGCGCTTTGCTTCTGACGCTGTGGCCCGGGCCCCGGCCCGCGGTAGCGCGTCCATGGGACCTGGCCGGGAGCGCAGGGCTCGGCTGGGGCGTCCCGCGGTGTCACTGCCGGTGCTCGCGTGTCTCTGCAGCAGCGCATTGCGGGGCTGTCGGCGCGTCTCTCTCTTCCTTTCTTTCCCTTCTTTCTTCCCTCCCCCTTTGCCAAGTCTGGGATGCCCAGTCCAGCGACCTTTACAGGGACCCTCGCTGCATTTTGGGCACGCTGAGGTGCAGGGTGGCACCGTGCAAAGCAGCGCCCCGGGCCTCCCCGCCACCCTCCCGCCTCCTACCCCGAGCGCTGCCCCGGGAGCCCTGGCTGGCCTTCGGATCCCAGCCCCCGACCTGGACGCCCTGGGCCGCTCCCTCGGCCGCCGCCCTCCACTGGTCACCTGTTCCCGGCCCTCTGGCCTGAGCGCCAGCGCGCGGCGGGCTGGCCGGCAGAGGGCTCCGTTGGTCCAGGAATCTGGCACCCGCCCGGGCAGGGAGAGGCCGCCTGGGCCGAGGAGCCCTGCAGGTGTATCCTGTTCTCAAAGAAAATAAAATATTTTCATGGGAAACTTTCCCTTTGTGTTTTTCTTTCTCCCCCTTTCTTCTCTCTGTTCCTTTCTTCTGGGTCGTCTTCCAGGGTTAGCCCCGTGTCTCAGTTCCCTGGGGCCCCCACCCGCAGCCCTCTCCTGGCTCTGACTGTGGGTACGGCCCTGGGCCTGGGCTGGCACGCCACGGCACGCCATCTGTGCAGCCCGTAGCCTCACCCGGGAGGGCAGGAGGGAGGGCCACAGGTCCGCGGTGAGTCACCGTGGCCTCGTCAGCCAGCTGTGCTTCCCTGCTCTCCGGCCCAACGGAGGCTCTGCTTCTGGGGCTCGGGACACACCCTAGGCTTGTCCGGGCTGCAGCGGCTTTGTCCCTGCTGTGATCCGATTCCTGGAGAGGGGGTGGGGCTGGGTCCTGGCCTCTCCTTCTCTGACCTATCTCTGGGGTTTGTGCTCTGGAGAAGGTCAAGGGGCTCTGCTGCTTTGTGTGTGTGTGTTTCAGCTCTCTTGCAGACAGTTAAGTCCAGGCTGGTGCCAGGCGCATAGCAAGGACTTAAGTGCTGTTGTGGCTTCTCTGGCCAGGCCCCTTGGCCCTGCTTCTTGGCTCCAAAGGACCCATCAAGGGAGGATTCCTGAGTCCTGAGGGCAGCTCTCCATGTAGCTGCCCTGTGGGAAGTCCAGAGGGCAAGCGTGCTGCCTTTGGTGACAGCTGGCATTGCAGAGGGCAGCTAGGACTCTGTTTGACGGATGGAGAATGAGTACCTTCCTGAACCAGGGGCTGGGGGGCATCCTGGGTCAGGGCAGGCCAGGCTCCATCTGGACTGCTAGAGGCCTTGGGCCCCCCTTAAGTCAGTTCCCAAGGTTGGGCTGGGGAGGGGAAGCAGGGCACAAAGGCTCCAGGCTGGGTTGTGTGGAGGCCTCTCCTGCTGGTTTGGGGCTGTGGCTCCTGGCCCAGCAAAGGCAGGGGGTGGCCCAGGGCATTAAAGGCCAGGTGGGGCTGGAGCTGGAGGGGGGCTGGGGTGGCCCTTCCCAGCTCCAATCCAGGAAGCAGGGAGAAGGGGCTGGGATCTAGGGCCGTTTTCTCCCTTCCCCCTCTCAAAAGCTCTGCCTGGCACGGAGGCTCCCGGGCAGGAACGCGGCTCCAGTTACAGCTCAGGAACCCGGAGAGGAGAGGCTGGCCTGGGGGAGGGTCACGTGGACCCATGGGAGCCCTCCCTGCCTGCTCCCTGAGCTGCAACCCAACCCTGGCTGGCGTCTGCTGCCCTCCTAGAAGCCTCTGGCCACCAGGCTGGACCCCCTGTGGGGAAGAGGCTCCCCATTGGCCTGGCCCTGCACCTTGGCATGGCTAGCAGGTGGCATTTCCATCTGGTTCTCCCATAGCTGTGTCCCTGTGCCTCCTCACTGGCCTGGCCCCAAGCCCTTCTAGACAGAGGGGTAAGCAGGAAGGCCAGCCTGAGGTCATAGGAAGGGCTTGGGGTGCAGACTCAGACCCTTTCCCCGAGGTTACTGTAAGAGGGTGGGCCTGGTGGTGGTCTGAGAACGTGGTTTGTCCTCCATTGGGAGGCCTCTCTCGATTCGCCCTTGCTGGGTTGTGGTCTCAGCTGAGATGATAGTTCCGGATTAGACGCCAGGACTGCTGCTCTGCTGGGCTCAGACCCTCTGGATGTGGAGTCAGGGCTGGGCCTGGGCCTGGGGGCTGTTACTGCCCAGCGGCGCTTGGACCCCCACCTCTGGCTGCTAGGCTGTCTGGCTCCCTGGCAGCTTGCAGCCCTTTCCTTAGGGGTCCCAGGCTGGCTCGGGATGAGGGCTGAGGCTTCCTACTGGAGTTCTTCTTTAAAGACCCTGAGGCTGTTTTATGGTGATGGCCCTTGCAGTTTACATCACTCAGGAAACATTTGCAGGCTACTTTGGGGGGCATGATGGTGGGAGGCCAGGCCCTGCCAATTTGCCCCCTTCTCTGGGCCTCAGTAGCCTGGAGGCCTGCCTGGAAGAGGCATGACCAAGGCAGGCACTGAGGGATTGTTGAGGTGCCCCCGGCCGTGGCCCCAGAGCCAGCCATTGGGCTGGAAAGGTGCTTGGAACTGGTCCAGAAGCCAGGCTGGAGGGAGTGACCACTGTGAATTGGGCGCCTGGTGGGCCTCAGGGCTGGCCGAGGATTTTTGTTATTGGCTGTAACTCACGTCCTGTAAAATCCACTCTTCTAGTATACAGCCCTGTGATTTTGAGTACCTCATTCACCAGGCCGTGCAGCTCTTACCACTGTTTAATTCCAGAACATTTTCCTCACCCCAGAAACCTCATACGCATTAGGCAGTCACTACCCGTTCCCCTCCCCCAGTCCCTGGCAACCACTCGTCTGCGTTCTTTCTCCACGGGTCTGCCTGTCCTGGACGTTTCCTAGAAATGGAATCCTATGCTGTGTGGCCTCCGCGCCTGGCTTCTCTCACTCAGCATCGCTGTTGTAGCACGCGTCAGTATTGCCTTCTTTCTTACGACTGAGTTAGACTCGACTGGAAGACTCTCCGAGAGACTTTTTGACCCGTTCATTAGTTGACGGACATCTGGATCGCTTCCACCATTTGGCTATGATGGATAATGTTGCTGTGAGCATTGGTGTGTGGGGTTTTGTGTATGTGTGTGTTTTCAGTTCTTGGGGTACTTACCTAGAAGTGGAGGTACTGGGTCACATGGTAACTCTGCATGTGATGTTTTTGTTTTTGTTTTGTTTTATTGAGACAGGGTCTTGCTGTGTCACCCAGGCTGGAGTACAGCGATGTGATGAGACCCATTGCTGCCTCCACCTCAGAGGCTCAACCATCCTCCTGCCTCAGCATCCCAAGTAGCTGGGACCACAGGCACAAGCCACTATTCCTGGCTAATTTTTTTTAATTTTGTTTTTTGTAGAAACAGGGTTTTGCTGTGTTGTCCAGGCTGATTTTGAACTCCTGGGCTCAAGTGATCTCCCGCCTCAGCCTTGCAAAGTGCTGGGGTTACAGGCGTGAGCCCCCACTCCCCGCCTGCATTTAGGTTTTTGAGGCCCTGCCAAACTGTCTTCTGGATGCAGCATTTTACATTTCTGCCAGCAGCACACAAAGGCTTGTTTCTCCACTTCCTTGCCAACACTGGTTTTCTGTTTTATTTTCTACTGCAGCCATCCTAGTGGGTGTGGAATGGCACCTTGTGTGGCTCTGACTGCATTTGTCAGGTGGCCAGTGGCGCTGAGCATCCTTTCATGGCCTCATGGGCCATGGGTCTTCTTTGGAGAATGTCCATGCAGCTCCTTTGCCTGTTTTTAGTGGGGCTGCTTGTCTTTCTCCTGTTGAGTTATGAGAGCTCTTTATATATTCTGGATCTCTCCTTGGACTGAGGAGAACCTTGTCTCTAGAACTGTGAGCCCGTGGGTGCTCTTACCCTTGCACAAGGAGCCGGTGACACCCTGGCAGCCCTACTGGGTGGGTGGGGGCAGCCAGGACATCCCCTGTTTCCTGGAGCCTGGTGTGGGGCAGTTCTGGGTGCTCAAGGGACTCTCAGAGGAGGCTACGGAGAGGCTGCTGTCACGGGTGTGGGGAGGGGATGTGTTTCTCACATTAGTGCCAACATCAGAC